ACCATTCTGTGATTCTGTGATCCTGTTTCAGTTCAGGGGCTGTGTGTGTGCATGTGTCCCAGTTTTAAGGTCTGAGGTTTACTTGAAACATCTAAGGGTACGTTATATTTGATAAAAACTTAAAATACGCTGATACTGGTGACACCAACCCCATTATGAACGTGGTGGGGACGTTCCTGGCAAGTCCCGCGGGGCACTTGTAGCCTAGCCGGCCTGTCCCAAGCCCGCGGACATCTTTAAGTGTATTGTGGTTCTCTTTTTAATCTGGACAAAGTGCTTACTTTCTGCCGGCTCACAGAAAGGCAGACTTGGCGGAATGAGAGATGTGGCAGGGGGGTTTAAAGGGTCAGCGCACAAACCAGCTGCTCGTGAGGCCATAGAAAAGAGCTTTCTGTGACCTGTGGCTGCACCTTTGCTTTATCGGGTAATACCTTATCCAAGTCCCCTTGTTTGCCTATCTCTGCCTTGCATCTTTTCTTGAGGTTTAGTTACTTAATCTGTGATGAAATGTAAAGCAAAGTTCTCCACGCTTGTGCCCAGGAGAAGGACTTTGTTTACAGTTTCAACTGCCTCTTAACTCATTGACCATGTGGGTTTAATTTTAATAGGGCTCTTGCGTTTGAAATCTCATCTAGGCTAGTATTACAAGAGAAAAATTCTTCTCCCTTGCTAAATACAAAGAAAGTTTGCAAATTGTGTTACCAGTCATCTTTTTTAAAAAGAAAAAAAAATCGCTGCACATCCTCAGTGCGGCTGAAGGAGGACAGTTAATGTGCTGTTCTGGTGGCTCCTTCTAGCTCTAAAGGGTTGCTCCCTCATTCAGCCTGTCCGTACCGGTGTTTCCCATCCATAAGATGTTCTGTAACGATTTGATAGATAAATCATCTAACTAAGGGCACTGAGATGTTCTGATCCTGGTTATGCTCCATGGAGAGGCCCAGCACTGGTAACTACGACAGGGTGGTTTTTAATCAATTTGCTTGTGGGTTGGGGTTCTCTGGTTTTGTTTTTTTGGGGGTTTTTTGCAATAGTTGTCTTTACTTTGTGCTCCTTAATACTTCAGTGTATACTTAAATTTAAGCTTTTCCAGCAGGAAGGGAAAAAAAACTTTGGAGTCTGCAAGCAAAGTTATTTCCAGTTTGGCATTAAATCTTTTTCAGATAAGCAAGAAATATCCCTTTGAAGCATGCAGGTAAATCTGCAGACGTGGATGGCTGCTGTCATCTCTCAGGCCCTCTCTGCTGCATCGGATCCCCGCTGCTTCCCACCCAGCACAGCCGTGCCAGTCCAGCACGAAGCGCCGTCGCTGCTGTGAGCGCTGGGGACATGTGCTGTGGGCTGAAGATGGGGTTTTTCCCCCCAAAGCAAAACATAACTAGTGTTGCAACACAACATTGTCTGCTACGCTGAAGGCTGGCCTCTCCTAAACTTGGCGTACGCTGAGGATAGCTTGGGAGAGCACTCGAACTGCCCGAGCACGCCTTCCTCTGGAGGCTGGGGGGCTGCCGGGCTCGGCTCAGGGATGGTGCAGTGTCCTCGTGTGTCCGCGAGCCAGCTGGCAGACCCAGCCTCCTCTTCCAAATCTCCCTCGTCCTCCTTCTGCTCGAGCATTAAGAGCCTGACTGGTGTTTCTAGGAAGTGCAGCATAAATCCAGTAAAGCACTTAAGCAAGTCCCCAGCTTTAGGTATATAAAAAAAGCTGGATTTATGCTTTTTAAGGTGGGTGGGGGTTTTAGGGGGCTTTTGTTTTTATCTCGAAGGCTAATGAAAGCCACCTTCTCCCGTGCTAGGAATGACATCCGTTTGCAGCAGCCTCTCCTTGATTCATCCCATCTTCTCCTGATGCTGACTTTAGACTCCGGTTCTGTGAAGGTTTATGTCATGTCTAACTTCAGGGTAGCGTCCTAGAGAGATGCTGGTGTCCGTAGGTCAGCGTGGGTCTGTGAAAACTGAGCCAAGCTTACAAGAGGGGCTCCTGTCTGTCTCCAGCCATCGTCCAGCTGAGAGCGCTGAGGGCTGATGAAAGCACTCAGCAGGGAGCAGAGCAAAGGTGTTGACTCGGTCGCTTTGCTCTGCTCCCCGGTGTCCATATAGAATAGGAACTACTGTTGAGCAGATCTCCATCCATCCCTTCAAGGTTTTCAGAGCACCTGTACAAGTTCTTCCTGTCCCTTTTTGGCCTCGCATGTGTTGAGGCAGCCTGGGAATTTGTGGGTGAAACAAAGTGAGGCGTTGGTTGTGTCTTGAGCCATTTTGCATCAGTGAAAGCTGCAGAAGTTCTTTGGGCTGCTGAGTATTTACCCAAAAGAGGAGAATCAGGTCAGCGAGAGCAGTGTTTGCGAAGTCTAGGCAACACGATGGCAGCGGACGTTTGTCTCTCTTGGTCTGGTGCTCTCCTGCTGTACAAATACAGCACGTGCCCTAAAAGCTTCTCTTGTGCCAGAGGGCAACGTCTGCAGCAATGAGCAGGACTCTTCCATCCTGCCATATACCTACCCTGCTTTGAATGAACAGCTCTAAAATAATTTTTCATTCTGCTGTCGCAAGGACAGTATGTCTGTGTATTTTCTTTCCAGCTGCTGTAATACAGGGCTTTGAGAAACCTCGTTTTCTTGAAAATCCTTGGAAAAAGCACTGAAAGCTGCTCTGTGTGCTCTCTGGCAGAGGAAGAGAGGTTTGCTTCAGTGTTGGTGCCTGCGTTCAAAATGCTGCTGCTTTGCCCTGCTGCAGTGCTGGAGCGGGTGCAGCCAGCAGCTGAGCAAGTTTCATCCCATTGGGAGAACTTCAGATGGAGCAAATGGCTTTTCATGAGCATCTTTTTCTCTTGAGGCCAGGCAGGAGGGCTCCCATCCCTCTGCCCGACCCCTCCGCTGACAGGGGATCAGCTGGACCTCAGCACCAGCACCGACAGATCCCACCACGGTTGAGATCCCAGAGCCAAAAATGATTTGCTTTGTTCTGAGGTGCGCTGGGGAAATCCCATAAATGCTGGGAAATGAGCTGGCACTTTGATGGGTAACAAGAGCTTTTGCTTTAGGAGGCTGTTTCTCCTGGTGCTCCCACGGCTCTTCTCCGAACATCGGGATGGTTCTAGGCTCAGCACCGTGTGGGTCCAGGGAGGACCATCCCTGCCCACGTGTACGAGCAAGTGGGCAGGACCGAAGGTGAATGCCTGCCTAAGGGGCAGAACTGGGAGGAAAACCCAGTCCTCCGTGCTTGAAGCATGGCGTCTTAAAAACCAAACCGTGCTTCTTTTCCTAGAGCCTGCTGCAGATAATGGATGTGGTGGAGTAGCACAAAACCTTCGAGATGCTGTTCCAGCTTTTGAGTGATTTGAGTGTCCTGCTGATGCAGTCCCTGCAAATTAGACGCTGTAATGAAGATTTATAAACCAGCTTATTTTCTGCTGAGGGATGGAAGATGCCCTCGTATTACTAGACGGGGGGAAAAAGTGCTTTAAGGGCTAACTGGTAGTTTTGAATGGTGATTTTTGCAGAGAATTCAGATTAATAATGTGTCCTTTTAAAATGGAGCGGGTGAAAGCAACAGTGATCAGAACTGCTGAATAGGCAGTGGGTAATCCCTCCTGGACTCGACAAATCCATACTCACTCGCAACAAAATCTCCCTCCAACTCTTATTTAGTATATATTTCTGTAATCTGTTTTCCAAACACTGCTGTTGCAAAGCATGCACGCCCCAAAGGCCGTGGTGCACCCCGGGATGGCGCTCGGTCCTTGGACCTGGAGACGGAGCAGCACCTGGACACGGGGTACGGCTCACGCTGGTTTTAGGAGGTTGGATTTCTGTGCCTAGAAACGCAACGCAGCAGTAATTAGCTGCCCCATATGTGTTTTGTCCTGCTCTGCAGTGAAACCCCGTAGCTATACTATCTTATCTTTTCCCTCTTGTGTTTTTTAATAGGCAAATGAGGTGACTGATAGTGCTTACATGGGCTCAGAGAGCACGTACAGCGAGTGCGAAACCTTCACGGATGAAGACACCAGCACACTAGTACATCACGAGATGCACGACGAAGTAGAAACAGACAGTGCCATCGACTCCACCGTGCACTCGGAGTTCACGGATCCCATCGAGGAGCCGGAGCATGGGTGAGTGGGACCGGCCAGGAGCAAAACTCACCGTGCGGGGCAGGAAACTGGCAAACTGGGAGCAGACGAGGACTGAGGGAGACGCAGCCTGAGGATTTAAAATAAAGTGGGCTGAGTCTGTCTTGCTGAAACTGGTTGGTTTGTTCTTTGTATTTGTAACTTCATGAAAGACCAAAATAGCTCTTCTGTAAGAATAATAATAATAATAATTAGACTGCACCATGTGTAGGCTGTTTTGGAGCTCAGCCTGGCAATCTCTTTGAGTTAATCGTTGCTTGCCTTGGGAGAACTTCTGTACCCTCATTAGCATCTTTAACCTCTAAAATAAGTTCTCAGATGATCCAAACACCTGAAATACTTGCAGTTTTTAATCTATCACTTAAGCCAGAAACTCAACATATAATTTTCAAGTCAGGAGGGGAACTCATCGCAATCTTGTTTTTCCTAAACACGCGTCCGCCCTTTGATGTGCAACCATCTCCTGTAATAACTAGTTTTAAACTTGTGCCTGAAGCACAGAAGTGTGAGCTAAGATCTTTGTCCCCGTGTCGGAACCGCTGCTGGCGAAACTGCTCCTGGGCCTGCCTCATTTCCTAGATTTTGCAGGAAAAGTTGGTTTTTGGGGTGAAACTGGGATGCTGAGAAGGCAGGAGGGGAAGGAATAACTCCTTTAATAGTGACCCAAGCACACCGGTCTGCGCTGAAACCTCTGGAACCGTCATCGCTTAAGGTCTGCTAACGCACAGAACTTTTTTGGCCAAAACCACACCACCCAGGCCTGGTGCTCTGGTGAGTACTTACAGTTCCCGTTGCTTTTAGAAAGCACCGGGCTTCCCTCCCACCCCAAAATCACATCTGGGGACGTCAGAGATGCAGTGAGCGGTCAGTGCTGCTGGGCACTCGGTGCCGGGGCTGAAAGGGTGCTGTGGATTAGGGAAGAAATGAGATTAGCTGGCTAGGCTCTCCTCGCCCGAGCGCGTTCAGCTCAGTGACAGTTAAATCGGGATATAATCGGTTGCTGAGCTCCCCGACCACCGAGCGGAGGGTCTCTGGAGGGGCCATGGCAGCCTGCGTGCGCTCTCGTCCTCTGGCGAAAATGCCGTGCCTCGGATTCACCTGCCTGTAGGTACAAAATACTTTGCTTGGGAATTTTTTTTCAAGATTAGGTTGTTCTTGAGGCTTCCCTGCTACTCCCAGTGTGGGCCTGGGAAGGTCGGGTGTCCTTTGAGTGCTCTGTCCAAGTGGTGCCTATTGCCAGGTGTGTTAAATGTGCTCAAATTCCAGGTAGCCAAAAAATCAAGGAAAAAGTTCATTTGGCGTAAAGATTTGGAAGGCTTGAGATGGAAACCTCTGCAAGTCTATTCCCAAGTTGTTGAGGGCTGGTTTTGGTGCCATCAAACCCCAGGCAGGACAACAGTTTTACACCTCTAGTGCCCAGAGCTCTTCCAGGGGACAGTCAGTAGGTACAGTCCGACCAACGCAGCTGGTGGACTGAATCAAAGCTTCAACACTGCTTTTCAGGAGCTGTTAAAGCTCAACATACCTTAGATGGTTTGAGCTTAAGTGGTTATTTAGGCTGTGTGTAGTGAAAATTAGTTGCACTCTGGATCTCAAAACTGCTAGAGCCCCCAATAGGTGTATATGAAATGCTTGTACTGAAGCATCCCTGGCTGAGGGTTTTGCAGGTGCCTGATCAGATCTGCTTCTGTACGGTGCTTGTCAAACCACAGCCCCAAATTTAGAGATTTGGGGTTGGGTTTTGCTTGCAAATTAAAAATTCCACCCTCTGCTTTCCTTCTATTCCTGGAGAGATTTCCGATGCTTTCGGCAATGGTCTGTTGGGTGCAGCGTCCGACTCACCACTGGAGAGGATGGGTTTCTGACGGGTCCCGCTGTGGGAATAACAGTGCTTCTCAAGTGCACAGGGGGGATGTGCAGATGCCCACAAGCTGGACTGTACTTGTCTGTGGTTAAATAGAGATCTGCTGCTGTTTTGGCTGGAGGGTTGACATATTTTTTATTAGCGGGATAAGGGCAAATCCTTCAGATGGTGCAGGTTTTTGTCATAAATGGCTTATCTGTAATCCTTTTTCTTTCTGATTTAGTACAGCAATCTAGTCATACTCCCATTTTCCCTCTCCTAGCATGTGGATGAAGATGGGGCATAGCTGGAAATAACAGTTTTTATAATAATGTGATCTTTTTTTTTTTAGCATTGAATTTTGGTGCTAGTCCCCCCAAAACACACACCTGTGGCTCATAGACATGGGGGCTGCTTTCACAGCTGGGTTCTTGCAAATCCCCCCTGCCTTTTCCCCCCAGCTTAATTTTAAAACCTCTGCAGTCCTGGGCAAGAAAGTCCTCTGAGAGCGGGCGCATACTTGGCTTGACTTCACGCAGTGCTGTGCATGCACATGAAAAGACACTTACAGAAACGATGACTTCTGTGCTGAGCTGTCCCCTCCGAAGCAAGGGACGTCCCAGGACCTGTGCTGGGTGTGTTCAGGGTTTAGGCGGAGGCTTAACACACTACAACCTTCTGGATCTGGTATTAAAAACACGTGAAGCAGCATTCCCCCCCTCCAAGATTGTCATGAGCGCGTACAGCGTTTTCCCAGCAGGAGCGGGGAAAGGGCTCCTTTGTCTTGCCCGGGGGTCTGTCGCTGCCGGGTTTGGCAGCTGCCTATAAACCGCTGGGATTTGTGTCATGGAGGGGGGGTTACAGTGTTAAACCCTGGTGCTGGGCTCTTGATAGGATTATACAGCAATAAGCGAGCATGAGCCTGGCACATAGGCTGATGATGTAACTCAAAACATATTTAGGGTGTGTTTGGGACATGCCGAACTCTTTCTCTACCATGCTTTTGGTTGCGCCTGTGCCGTGCAAGGGCTTGCCACCAGCCCTGGGTGCTGTTTTGCAAGTCGGACTGCCCCCAAATCCGATGTTGCAGCTGCCAGTGGAGCTTGCGCGAAAAAGCATTGGTTTGTTGTGAAAAAATTGCTGCAAAGTTGCCAGTGGTGCCTGGGCTTCCCCTTCAGTGTTCAAGGCACGGGGTGAATTGCACTGTAAGGAAGAGCTAGCCTGGTCTGCCGAAATGGGGGACGTGGCTTGGAAAGCAGATGTATCGTGTGGAATTGGAAAGGCTGCTGCGGTGGCCACGCTCTGACATCTTCCTCTCTGCTCCCACAGATCCCATCCGCACGACCTGCCCCTGGGCTCGGACCTCAGCCACTCCATCGTTACGGTCATTAGCGGAGAGGAGCATTTTGAGGATTACGGAGAAGGGAATGAAGCAGATTTGTTCTCCGACAGTTTGTGTAATGGAGAAAGCAGCTTTAATAGCTCCTCGTTCCTTTCTCCCAGGTAATGCCCAGCACAGCGCTGGCCACGTTTTAACCGGTTTCGCTTGCTTAATGTCTTCGCCTAGGCTTTGTGTGTGAGTGTTCTCTCCTTTGGGTTTGCACACCAGTTGGCCTGCAAGAGGGGGTTCCTGGCAGACTTTGGATACAACGGGGTAATTGGCTCGGAAATGGAAGAGTAGTTCCCTCCCTCAATCTTGCCCTTTCCTGAACAGTGCCCACCCTCCCATCCCATCCAGAGGCAATGCCCGGCAGCAGGGGAAGGAGCACTCTGCGTTTCACATGCGTCCAGGACAGCGTCACGTTCCCACTCCTGTTAGGGATGTGGCTCCTCGCAGAACCTTCTGAGAGAGAAAACTATCCCTGGTCCTGTTGGATGACAATTTTTTTCTTTCTCTCCTGTGCTTGTATTTTTGGCTTTGATATGATGCGTGGTTGGATTCACACACACTGCGGCAGCCTTCCTTCTTTAGGCAGCCTGAGGGATACGGGGAGCAAGAAGCAGGCTGTAGCGTTTTCCTGCATTCCTTGCATTCGGGTCTGAAACCCGGCAAATGTTGGTTTTCCAGCCCGTGCAGGGCGAACTGAGGAGCTGCTATGACAGTACAAAACCTGTCAATACTTACTTTGTAAGGAGGGGGGAAAAAAATAAAGTAAAACTGGAATGATCAACCGCTGCTGCAGCCCACGAAGTCTCTGCAGTGACCGATAAGACCGGGGACGCGTGTCTCCATCAGGCAGCGCATCTCTGCGCGTGGCGGGAGCGGGCCCTGCCAGCCACACGCTTGTGTTGAAGACAAGAACATACTTTTTTCCTTTGGAACGATACGTTTGCTGTTTCTGCAGCAGTATAAAACTGTTGTAACTTTTTTGGTTTTGCTGTCTGCCTGTTTTCTACCAGCTTCCCAAAGCCCTTCGTAGAGTTTGGGCAATTCTGATTGCGCAGGGCTGACAGGGAAGAACTGCTGTCAAATCTCCACACGTGCCCTTTGCTGCAGGTCAGGGCTGACTTTTTTTTGCTGGTGCAGCAGCAATTTTGAAGATGTTAACTAAACCTGCAATAGGAGAGTGTTGCTGTAAAGCATGCCTAACCCATTACTTCAGGAAACCGGTGCTCCAGCGCTTGATGTGATGGGATGCCCAGCAGTGGAAGGGACATGTTGCTCATCCACGCTTGTCCCTTGATTGCACTGTGCAGAAATGCCGAGCATGGCTGTCTGTGCTGGTGCTGCAGCATAGGAAGTGCTCTCGGATAAAAACCAGCCTTGGTGTTCGTTTTGAGTTTCTCTTTGAGTGTGGGCCTCCAACCTAGTCCAGAAGGCTTCTGGCAAGAAAATACTCAGCTAAAGGAGCTTTGCAATCAGTTAAACTTTTTCTTTAATATCAGTCTGGAGCTCCCTGGTGGCCTACGCTCCCAGTGTTCAGATCTTGCTCTGTCAGGGCACCGTCTCTCCTCTGCTGCTCTGTCTCTTTGGATCTTATCCACGAGATCATGCTCTGCAGCATCTTTCCTCTGCCGGGCAGGCCTCACTCGGCACGTGGCCACGCAGCTCGTGGTGGTTGTGCTGGAGACTCACTGCTGGGGCTCGCCGGGGAGGCAGGCTGCAGATAAACCCTGCAAAACCTCCAGAGTAAAGAATGCGGTTCTGTTTGAAACAGAGGGTTTCCTCATGCCTTTCAGGTCTAGCCCTTACCTTGGATTATCGTTGCGTGCGTGAAGGTCCTTAGCTGATCGTTCTCTGAGATTGCGCTGTTTTTCTGAACACAGCCCTGCCTCCCCAGAGCATTTAAATGTAGTGAAACCTTAAAGAACTACAGGATATTCCTGGTTCAGGCTGACCTTTTTTTTCTTTGGCTGTGGTTTGAATACGAGGAACAGTATCACTTGTAAACAGTCACGTCGCCATGCACCCTTTCCATGTTACAAGAGTCTCTAAGTGGGCACAACATCGACAAATTTTCCTGCCACAGCTCCAGATCTTCACCAGAGGACTTACGCAAGAACCAAGAGCCTTCAGGGAACGCTATGGGGTATTGCATTTTCCTGCGTAGTCCTTGCGTGTGTGTTTGTGATCCCTGCTCTTGGGTGGCCGCCTCTTCCCTGGCACGTTGGAGAAGTCTCTCTGCAACGCTTGGTGGGAAACGAATGGCAACTGAAAGGAAAAGCTCCTCGCACGCACCCGTTTCGGCTGCCGACGTGCTGTGTCAGTAAGCAGCGATGACCTGTGGAAGACGAATGTTACTCCAGGAGCTGGAGGGAGGCGGCAGGAAGGCTGCATATGGCGCAGGGGGTGGCAGCTTGCCAGGAGGGGTAGGTGGGGACGCCCCAAGGCGCAGTGCGGTTGAGCTCTCGCCCACTCAACGGGCAAGCAACCAACGCAGCCAGAGGCCAAGTATACCTGTACATAACCGAAGAGTTGCCAGGCTGGCCTGTGGGTTCTCCCCTACGCTTCTTTTCCCATTTTGATTAATGCTTGTTAAGATTCGGGTTCAAACCTCACCCAGGGGTGCACCCAGCCGGTGCCTGTTTCTGCCTCCCGGCAGGGGTGAGGAGCACTCGCAGAATGGGGCTCACGTGCAGCCAAGCACGGGGGCAGAGCCCAGAAAAGGGCACATCACTTCTTCCAGGTGCCACGAAGCTTCTGTCACCTCTTACCCCGAGCAAAGCCTGAGCAACTGAACTGACTGCTGGTGGCGGATAGAGGTTATCCTGGGTCCAAACCTGCCCTAGAGGGTAGGGGCAATGTTTTTCAATTTTTTTTTTTTCCAGGAATGGGAAGAGATGAGCAATTCGGCGTTTACTGTTGTCCAGTTGCCTGTTCTAAGGGGGCTCGGAAATACTGTACAGACGGCACAAACTCAGAGGCCTGACCCTGGGGGTGGCTGGGCTGCTGACACCCCACTGTCACCAAAAAACGTCAGTGAGGGGTTATGCAAAGGTGCTGAGCCAGGGACCCCTCCTGGGTGTCCCGCGCACTCAGCATCTCCCGGGCCAGGACTTGCCAGTGTGTATCTGTATCACGGGGTTGACTAGCCTTTTCAGATGCCTTTTGGTTTTAAGCTTGCTTGTGTTTGCTCACACCTTTACCTGTCTTTCTTATTGTTTTTTTCACTATTAACCTTTCTTTGATTAAAGTCCGTGGCTTCCAGAAGCACGTTTCCCTGCAGAAAGGATTTATGGCGTACATTTGGCCCCGAAGTAACACAAACTCTTTGCGGTTCGGAATCCCTTGGCCAAACTCTGTCCTGCCCAAGTCACGTTGGGTGGGGGAAATGGCTCCCTGGTTTGCCAAGTGTCGGTGAATGCCTCGGCAGCTTGATTTCCACATCAGCAGCTGAAAATGAAAAGCTGATCGGACCCCTTAACTCCCCAGGCTGTTAAAGTCCTGTAGACCCCCATGTCCCTGCCCAAAGGATGTTCCTTACAACGAGGCAAAGCTGCTGCTTCAGCTGCTGTGGGCTTCACTTCATAGCAGACAGCAGGTGAATCACAGCCACCTTTTTGAGCTTAGCTTCAAAGGGGAGCTCTTTGCAATGAAAATCTGACTCTGTGCATTACTAATGGTGGGTCCGCAGCTCCACAGCTAATCTATTTTTAGAGCATCCCCTTGGAAAACAATGCGAATGACCAAAGGTTGTGGCTCTTGCCCAGTCCAGCGGTGTGTGACTTCAGTCTGCATTTACCGAGGCAAACCAGGACCATTGCGAGAGCCTCCTGAGGCGGGTTGCTTGGAGAATCATGTCGGAAAATAAACTTTGTAGTTCATGTAGGTTTGTGGAAAGCAGGCACCTCGCCTTCCCTGGGCTCTCGGGGGGTCCCCCACAAGAGCAGCCGGGCATGGGGGTTTGAAAACGTAAGCCAAGCTCAGCTGCTCTAAGTCTCTGGGAGGAGGGTGATGGAAGTCCTGCTAATTTATAGCAACTCCATATTGACTGCGATTTGGCTTCTAAAATCGAGGGGGGAGGTGACCCAATCTGCCTTGGAAGTTTTTAATTGCAAGTCTTGTATCTCACACCAGAAGTTCCCCTGCCCAAACGTACGCTCAGCTTGTGGAAGCCACGGACGAAAATCAGCCCCGTCTGTTCTGTCCTGATCAAATGACCCTTGTGATTTCTCTAGCACCAATCCGCTCGCTGCGAAACTGCACAGCATTATCGCAGATGAAGCATTTGAGTTTTACTGTAGCCAGTGCCACAAACAAATCAACCGCCTCGAGGATCTTTCTGCTCGCCTGAATGATCTTGAAATGAATAGGTAATTGGGCTTGTCTGTGGCCATTTCAGTGTTGGGAATGACGTTCCTGAAGGGGAGACTCTCCTTGTCTTGCACAGCTTTCCTTTGCTGATGCATTGCTGGATTCCTGGTTGCGAAAGGGGATGAATTTCACCGAAGGAGGTGAGCCTCTCCAGGTGGTAAAGGCTGTAATAACATTATGGAGGGTGAGCAGAATTTTCCTTTAATCTGAGCCACGGAGGCTGGCAGACAATGAGAGTCTTCCCTTCTGCTCTGGGCAGCCTCTTTGCATGTCCTGCTGAGTGGTGGGTGCTTCTCCACGCTCCGAGTAATGCAGTCCTTGCACCGGGACTTGAAACCGTAAGCTGATCGTGTACAGTATTTCTGTCACCAAGGAAAAGACTGCCAGGTCTTCTGACCAGTAAAACCCAGTGTGGAGGCACGCCTGAGTTGCTGGTTCAACCTAGAAGGGCAGGTACAGCCCGTCCTCCCGCTGCAGCAGTAACTTGAAAACATCAGCTTGCTCTCTGTGGCTTGGGAGCTCTCCTGTAGACTCTTGCTTTGCAGCAGTAAAATCGTGTTTCACCCAGCTTCGCCAGCTGCCTGCCCGCCTGCGTGCCACCACTAGCCCGGTAGATGTGATAAACGCCAGGGCCTTTGTGTAGGAACTTCATGAGCTTTTGAACGTGACGTTTGAGGTCTACCAGCCAGCAGCTGGACTTGATTTGACAAGTGGGGAGGGATTTCTGTTTGTTTGTTTATTTTTTCAGACCTGTTTGCAGTCCACTGGGTGGAAGGATGGTGGCATTGATGATCATTCTGCTCGCATCTGGTGTGCTATTTCAAGCCTGGTTTTTGGTCATGCTCTTGGTCTCTGTCCTCTACAGGGACAGTGTGACATGGGAGCTCTCCTGGGCTGTATAGCTATGGGAAGAGAACTGGAAAACAAACAGGAGCTTGACCTTAATTTTTTTTAGAGTCTCTCCCTCTATCTTTCTCAGGCAAATAGTTACCTTTGCGTTTGGAGGCCTTGAGGGTCAGTGAGGGGTCTCAGGTTATGCGGTTGTTAAGGAGAATGCTGGACTTCCCTGGAGGCACCAGTAGCCCCACTCCATTTCAGGCTTTCTCCACCAAATTTACCTGCAAAGCTGAACTAATGCTTCTGAGCCTCCTGTGATGGATGGGATTTCCAGAGGAGGCTTCCCCATCCCGTGGTGTCACGGTGGGAATTCCATAGCCGCTTGGGCTCAGGGCGAGTAGGTATGGTTCCTCCATCTGTGTTCGGGGTTTCCTGTGCACAAATTTGCTGGAAACTTGTTCCAAGTGCCCCTGGGCACCGACCCGGTGGAAGGGGCATCGCCCACCCTTTCTGTGGTGAGGACGCGAGAGGTGTCCCCATGCAGCACGTGGGACACGGCAGGACGTGTTTGCTCCCAGCATCACCAGCAACGTGAAGCCCCCAGTGCAGGGGACAAGTAGGTGAAGAGCGCAGCAGAAACTGGACGAAAATCTGGGCTAAGCAGCCTCGCACCATGCCTGGCAGGCGAAGCCTGAAGATGTCTGCTCCAGAGGATGCTAGCAGCTGGGGTGAAGCCCAAGCCGCCGTGTAACAGCCTCACTCTTAAAGGCTGTATTTGCAGAGTTTTACACTTGGAATAAGGTGGGGAGCCTGGTCCCGGCATCGGGGCGCTGTTACCCGAGCCCATGGTATGGGAAGGCAGGGAAGAAATCCGTCAGGAGCTTGGGATGAACCAGTTCTGTAAAAGGACGTTTTGTTTTAGTGCCCTTGAAGCAGCGGTGGTGTGTCTCATCCCCTCCAGAGAGACCCGCAGGAGCCGGCCCTGCTTTCCGATAAGCTGTTTGCAGAGAAAAATATTTTTTCTCCCTCCGGTGGTGGGGCCATACGTGACTCGTTACGATTGCTGGCAAACACGAGGGCCTGACCTCCTCCCCTCGGGCGGGTGCCGAGCGTCCTTGAAGCCCGGCCAGCTGCGGCTCTTGCACTCCTCGGAAATCTGGGGTTTGAGGATGCACTTTTGACACGAGGGCTGGTAAGCCTGACAACAACCCCTGGTCAGTCAGTGTTTTGGGTTTTTTTTGGTTTTTTTTTTTTAAAAGAAAATTGTCCTGAGCTATTTTTAATTCCTCCTTCTAAGAACTAATGCAATTGTTGCAGCTCAAGGCAGGAATGGATTCCCAGTTGTTTGGTTTTTGTTTTTTTTTTCCTTTAAACTGAGTTAAGCACCAGGGAATGCAATTGCTGCTTCTCCGCTCAGGCTAGAGCTGTGTTTGCTGTCATCGTTCGGTGACGATTTGTATCAGTGATGTGTCCCAGTGGCATCTGTTTGACAACAATGTGTGTTTGGGTGGAAGATGAGGAGTGAGATCCAAGCCGCGCTTGCTTCACGAGCGTGCAGCTGCATCGATCACGACCGAAGGACTGGAAGGAGCATATTAGCAAGTAGCTGTTTCTGAAACAGGCTTTTTTTTCCTCCGTGGGGAGAGCCCGCAGCCCTGTCCCCGGGGCAGGGTAACGCAGACCTTGGCTGTTCGTACCGTGGGTCACGCTGAGCCCTAGCTAGACCCTGACCGCTGTGGTATGCAGGCAGCTGGCTCGGGCATATACGGAGCTGGGGTGTGTGGTCTCCGTCAGTTATCTGTGCAAAGGAGAGCTCGTACCAGTCCCAGTGATTATAACAGTACCCGTGCTTAAAATCCAGAAGGAGACATGATCAACAGCTCCTAAAATCTGAGCTACACGTAGGCAGCAATTCTCCAGTCATCCAGAGCCAAAGAGTAAGAATAATCTTTGTGAGAAGTGCAAACCAGCATGCAGAAGGGTGGAAGCGCCCGTTTGCAGGCAGGAGGTGCGCCCCGTCCCCCAGCCGCCGGGCAGGGAGCACC